AGCTATGGAATCGACCTTTGGTGGAGCTTTCTGGACTTCTTCCTCGGGGGACTCTTTCTTGTCGGGCTTCTGTCTTGTCCTTTTGGCGGGTCTGGTCCCTATATCGACAATATCACGTCCCTTAGAAGCGGCGTTGAAGCACCTGCGTGCAGCGGCTAGGTCTCCTTGGATAGTAGCTACTCGGGCCCTCTTGGTGTAGAACTTCATCTTCAGGTGGACGGTCGAGGGTACCGCTGTCAGCTCTGCCAGTGTCGGTCTCCCCAAGATGCAGTTGTACAGAGACGGGCAGTCGATGACTAGGAAGCGTACTTTGACTTGTCTTGTAGCCGTCCCTTCACCGAACGTAACCAGAAGCTCGACATATCCCCAAGGTTTAGAGGTCGATCCGTTGAAACCTTGTAAGTCCGACCCTACATACAGAGAGAGATGTGAGTCGTCCAGCTGTAGGGTTCGGAACAGTTGGCTGTACATGACGTCGACGGAGCTCCCTTCGTCGACCAGGATGCGATGTACATTAAAATTGGCCATTCTTGCCCTTATCAGTAAGGGGATGACCGCGTTCGGGGCTCCGCCGGGTAGCTCTTCTAGGTAGAAGGTGATGGGCTCTGACCTGCCCTTCACCCTTTCGAACGTCACTGTTTGCGGGGGAGCCGCGTCGACCAGCTCGTCCAGCTTCCTCTTGGCTGAATTGATGGTCAGGTCGTTGAACCCTCCGCCGTTGATGACCAGGGCAGAGGGGAAATATTCCCACCTGCTGTGCGTTGTGAGCGGTTCCTGCAGGTGCTCGGGTAAGTTGAAGTCCTCGGGCCTGGTCACAGAGAAGGCGGTTTGGATAGGGACCGACTCGTCAGATGGTCGGACATCCTCCTCCGACTCTCTAGTTTCTTGGGCGTCACGACGGGGAGCATCATTCCGCCGGTATTGCGCGAGCCTCCCTCCCTTGATGAGGGTTTCGATGGCGTCCTTGAGGTGGATGCAATCCTCAGTCAGATGACCATGGCTCCTATGGTACTGACAATATTTGTTCTTGTCTGCTCCGGGCTTGGCGGGAGCAGGTCGGGGACGTTTGACACTGCCGTCCTTGAAATCAGTGCTGGCACACTCTGCCAGAATACGCTCGCGGGAAGCTGTGAGCGGAGTGTACTCGGTGAACCGCCCCGAAGGTCCTCTTTGTTCCCGGACCTCCCGGGGTCTGTCTTCCTTCCTTTTCTCCCCGGTTCGTCGAGGAGGGGCCTCTTAGCGTGAGCTGCTGCTGGGACCACGAGTCCTGGGATCTCGGGCTCAATTGGCCGCCTCCCTCTCCTCGTAGTCCATGTATGCCCGAGCCTTTTCGAGGAGGGCATCGAATGTCCGAGGTGGCTCGATACCCACGGCCTTTCTGAACTCCGTGTCGGGGAGGAGCCCTCTCTCCAGGAAATATCTCTTCATATGGTCCGCACAGGGGACCTGTATTGCTTCCCGGTTGAAGCAGTTGATGAATTCCCTCAAGGTTTCATCCTGTTTTTGGATGATGGCCTCGAGAGCCGCCTCGGTCTTCGGATGTCGCCGAGAAGCTGTGAAGGAACTGATGAACTGGTTCTTCAGGTTCCGCCACGAGGTGATTGAGCCCAGGGCTAGTCCTTTGTACCAGTCCATTGCCGCCTTCCTGAGAGTCATGGGGAATAGACGGCACTTGATGGGCCCCCCGACATTGTGATAATGAAGCATGGCCTCGAACCCGTCTATGTGGTCGACCGGGTCCGCGACTCTATCGTACTCCTTTAAGTGAGGGGGCTTCTCCATGCCCGGGGGGATGGGTGCTTCCATAATAGCCTGTGACAGGGGACCGCGGGGGTCGTCCTCGTCGCTTCTCTCCGGAGACAGAGATGGGGACCTGTAATATTGTCTGGCACGACGGTCCAAGTCGTGCTGAGTCTCTCTCGAGCGGGATGCTCGGTGGTTGAATTTCACACGCCCATCTCCGGAGTGCCTTCTTTCCTGTCTCGCCGGGTCACGACTAGGTTCTCCGGCTTGAATAATGGGGGGCCTCTCCAGATGGGGCCGTTTCTCTTTTGGCCGGGGAGATTGGCTTCGAGAGGTCTCCCTGTAATGTCTCCGCGGGGGAGACGGATGTCGAGCTTCAGTCACTCGAGGAGGGGGAGTATGGGGTCTCCGATGCCTCCTCGGGGGTCTTCGCTCGTCTTCAAGCGCCCTCAGTCTCTCTCCTTGGGCGAAGATGAGATAGTTCGTTTGATTAATTGCTGCGAACAACGCTTGAGTTGTGGCATCCGCCCCGGCGGGGACGGGGACTTCCTGGAACCGGGCAGCTCTGTAGTGCGCGAGGGCCGCCAGGTCGTCTTCGAGTGGTGGAGGGACCAAGGAGGATGATGCAGTAGCTCCGTCCCTGTAGGTGGAAGTTCCGGGGGCGGTTGTTGCAGGAATGGTGTTGTGGCCGGGGTTGCCGGCGTTATCAAGGTGTCCGTTTTTGTCTGCGGTGCCGTTATTAGTGTCGACGACACGGACGTTCTGCTCATCGCGAGCTTGATCAACCATGACAGTGGTAGTTGAATTTGAGCTTTGGTCTTTGAGTTTTGTAAGACGGGGAAGCTAGTTTCCCACAGACGGTGCCACTGATCTGACCTGATCAGACTTGGACCATCACAGCTGGCTCCGAGCTTAAGTTTTGAACGAGGTGGGGGGGGGTACCTGCAAGGCACTCTGATGCTGAAGTAAGTAAGAGTGCGAGCAGGCAAAATGTGAGTATATGGGATAGAGTGAATACCTGACCCTCTGGAAACAGAGGTTATTTATAGCCCCCAGCGCTGGGCCAAGGTTCCTTCATTGGGCCGGGCAGGTTTGGCCCAATGGAGGAACTGCCAGGTTCTACGTGTGTAGTGGGGACCCGCACGTGATCCCCTTCCTGGATGTCCTGCGTGAAGTGCGGGCGGACAAGGACGCGGTCTTTTTGGGGTCCCGTTGAGAGTGCAGTGGACCGTGTCCGCTGCTGAAGGAGTGCTCGAGCTGAGGTCGAGCTGGATAGCACGAGGACGGGGATGTCGCCCAGAGACGTATGTCGGACATAGCTATGGTCCTTAGGTCGACGAGACCCCTAGCAAGTCCGTTTGGATTGGGCCTTTATCGTTGCTCTTGGGCCAGCCCGGCCCAGTCCAGAACAGGAACATTTTAACTTTTCGCTATATATGAGATTTAGTCATATAGAAACGTTTTAACATTTTTTATGTATAATCTTCTTGGTGAATAAAATTTCCATATTCTAAATCTTTATTTAATAAGGATTTTTTCTTTCCCAAGTCCTTCATTTCAAATATTTTCTTTTAAAAAATTTATAACTTTTGGAATCTCTTCAAGAGTTCCCATAATTTTATGTCATCTACATAGACAACTATTATAGAAAATTGTTTTCTAGAACTTTTCATAAAAATACAAGGAATTATGGACTTATTTGTATATCTCTCCCTTAGAAAATATTCATTGAGACAATTGTCATAACCGACAAAAAATATTGCGAGTCGTCACTATTAATTTTTATCCTAAGAGAATGGAACTTAATAGGTAAACCTAATTTGTCAGAGGTTCTACGTTCGTGGGTCGATTAGATGAAGGGAAGGTTTTAGGAACCCTTCATCTACCTTGTTCTCAAGGAATTCCTAGGTTTTAGGTTTAAGGGTAAGATAAGGTTTCAAAGATGATTAGGGTTTCTAAATATCGCGTTTAGGAAAGGGGTTTTAATTTTTAAATAGGGGACTCGCCTTGGTTTTTAAGCCGCGTGCCGACGTATCCCCTTATGAGGTATTAGAGTCTCAATTCATATTTCGTAGGTGTTTGGTTAATTTTTTTTAATGAATTGTAGAAATATTTTGAATTAATCCTTGAATCAAGTCTGAGTTTGAAAATAGCAAAGTTGTAGACGCAGTTCACAGTTAATATAAAAGATCTCCACAATCCTTTTTTCAAAATAATATTGAAATTGAAATTAGGTTAGTAAAAAAGAAGTTAGTATTTGATTGGTTAGCTGTCTTAAAATATACAAAAATAAATTTGAATGATAAAAAGTTTGATACAATAGAAAAAATGGTTAGTATTTAGAAAAAAATTAATAAATAAGTTTTTCTTATTATTAAAAATATATTAGATATTTTTAATATTAATTCAATATTATTTATTAAAATATTTAAAAATGAAAAAATATAATTTAATGCAAAATTGATAAATTGACATGAGAAAATAAATTAGTAATTAAGTATATAAATAAAATAAATAAATAGATAAATTAATTAATTATAAAATGAAATTAATTAAATAAACAAGGGGGTGTAGATTAAAGTTTAGTAGTAAAAATTGGGGTTTTGAATAGAAAGAGCCTGGTCCAGAATTTGGTTTTGATCCATAGGCGTTGGGAGGTGCGAATTTATTATTGAAAGTAATAAAAAAAGAAAGTTGGGGTGCGTTCATGAATGGGATTGGCCCAGAACGAAAGTCGAGATCCGTTGGGATCTCGTGAGGGTGAGCGCATGGATTATTGTGTGCTAGCGGGACCCATATCGCTTCATCTCAATCAGAAGGCTACTAGAGGCCAGCTCTAGAGCGCTGATTGAAAGTCATACAAACAAACGGACGAGATCATGATTTGACCGAGGGTGCATGGTATAAGTGACACACATGGTCGTTGTACAACAATCCAGATCACGTGGTCAGATGATGGACACGTGTTGCCAACAGATGGAGTATATCTTTTGTTTTGTTTTACATTTTCCATTCATTTATCTCTTACACTCTTCCTCTATCTCCTTCAACCTTTCTCCTTCGTCTTCCTCTACTCTCCCATACACAACAACAACACGGACCAAAACCCAAAAATCCAGATCGATCCCCATAGGCGGCGGCGACCTCCCGAACAAAACCCAACCCTAAATTTGTTCACCCCAAATCGAAACAAGAAAACAAAACAGAAAAACCCTTTAAGCTAAGTGTAATCGAACGTTACCTCTCATTTTCCGTGAATGTTGACGTTATCTCCTTCCGATTTCTTTCCTCTCTGTCTAATCCACCTTTTTTCTTTTGATTTGCAGGTACGGCGATGCGACGGTGCAAGACTCAACAGATTTAGGGTTTCAGATTTGAAACCCAAATCCCAAACGAAGAGTTTAGATGATTGGCGTAAACTTGCGGCCAACGATTACTCCTTCTCCTTCAATTTCTTTTCAAATTCTCGGTCCTTTCAACATTAGAAATTAGGGCCTTATATAGGCTTAGGTTTAGATTTCAATGAGGAAATTTTTGTTGTGATTTCTGTTATAATCCGTGATTGAAGAAGATTGTGTAAATTAGGGATTTAGATTGATACGAATTTTAGATTTGATATTGTAATTGATTATGTTTGTAATTAGATTTAGAAATTAGGAGATTCTATTAGATTAGGGTTTGTAAATTGAATGTATTTGGTCCAATTTTGCATTATAAATCAAATAAAATCTGATTTTATGATATTGATTTCATTTCATGACAATTTGCATTTCGTTTCTTGGATCTAGGCTTTTAGGCGTCTTAGCGAAGAAGATGAACAGGAGACTGTGTCGTTGGCTTGCATTAGGGTTTCACACTCTTTGTTGATTTTCGGTCAACGAAATTCAATTAATTATAATATTAACCCATAGATTAATAATAATAATAATAATAATAATAATAATAATAATAATAATATAAATGGTAATAACAATACTAATTATAGTATAATAACACAATAACCATAGGATAATAACATTAACAATGTATTGAAAATAATAGTAATTTTAATAATAATATGAATAATAATAATAGTAATTCTAGTCAACAAAAATGAGTTTAAATGGATCAGACAAATACACTACCAGAATCAAGATACGACCCTCAAACTTCTATAACGGGCCTTTAGACTTATTTGACCACCAAGCCCTTATGGTTTAAGACTTATTTTGTTAATATTCAAATAATAAAATGAACAAAAAAGTAAGTTGATCATTGATACTAGAGGGGCAAATTTGGGGTATGATAATAATTATATCACTTGTGTCTATATTGTTTTTTTCCCATAGAGATACTTGTTCAATTTTATGTCCTTATCAAGTGAACCATACAAATAAGATATTACAACATCCATCATATTCAAATCAAGGTCTTCATGTGCTACGAGACTAATTAATTATCGAAAACTAATTGAATTCATTACAAATGGATATGTTTCATCAAACTCGATCTTAGGTCTTTGTGAAAATTATTGAGCAACAAATCAAACTTTATACAATTATTATTTTTCTTTTTCACAAAAACTCATTTATATCTCATTAGTTTGACACCTCAAAGTATTCAAACTACAGGTCCTAAAACGATTCACTTTTAAAGTGAGTTTAATTATCAAACAATTGAATTTGTTTATTTTGGTCAATTTTCACTATGTCTATAATCTTGGATAAACTTTTATTCATGATCGGTTCATTTTGGTCAATTCTCACTTTGTCTATAATCTTTGATAGACTTTGATTCATAATTTGTTCATTTTAACCAATTCTCATTTTGTCTACAATCTTTAGTAGATTTTTTCATGATTCTCGTTATCTTTTATCATCTTTAGCGCTATATTGTATATGAATACATTGCCAATGTCGACTTTATTTGATTATCTTAATTTTGGTTCCATTCCATTTCATCCATGACATAATTTATCGAAATCTCTTTATTTCATATTTTAAGTACTTCATTAGTCCTTCTGGAACTGAATAATAAATTATGTCAAAGTTCTCTTAGAATTTTCATATCCTCACTTGGGTCATCTTTAACTTTTGTTTCTTTTCTTTGTAGAGAACTTTTAACATTAGAACGTAATTTTCTACCACGCTTCAGGCGGGATTATAACTCATTTGCAATATTAGATTGTCCAATAAGAGAATCCACTTTGAGAGGAGTATTAGCAGTTAATAATATTTTTCATAAACTTTAAAAATGAATTCTGTTTTGAACTTCGAGGATCAAAATGATATGATAATATTTTATTTCAAATTGTTCATTTGAACTTCTGGTTCACACTTTCAGCTGCTTATCCCCCCCTAATAATCAGTCTACTAGGCTTCAAACAAGTATTCAATTATTGAATCAAGATACATCCTCAAATACATGATTCATATAAAAGATATTTTCTCAATATTCTTTCAAAACTCATTTTAGCGTACTATATTAGAGAAATTGAATAATCACAACACATCCAAAAATTTAATTATATGAGACGTATTAGGTTATTATCCTAAAACAATTTGTAAGTTAAGAGGAGAATTTAAATATACTATCTTGTTGGCTTAATGCGAATAAATATATTAATATTCATATTTTGTGTGTTTCAAATATCTAATTTAGAATTTATGATCTCACATTATCAATCATACAATTAACTTTAGACGTCTAAAGAATGAATCTTCAAGTCCATTTTTTTATGAACATATGCTACAAGATGTTCAATATTAATTTTAATAGTATATGTGATACTTATCAAGAAATTTTTGAAAAACTTAGAAAATAATATCTTAGTCTAATTATTTGAGAAAATAATTTTACAAACTTTTGATTTGAGTAGACATATGCATGATCTTTTAGACTATGCAACAATTAATGTTATAAAAACTTAATTTCTCAAATTTTCATTTAGGAGCACACAAATTTTAATTGATTGAAGAAACTTCTAGTTCTTCAAAACTAGTTCTCGCATCATAATGCACTTAAAATGACACAATCAATTTTGCCAACAACACACTTAAGTGTCATTTGAAAACTTCTGATTTAAAATAATATATATGACTATATTCTTCTAGTTTGTTTCAATCCGTTATGAATAATTAAATAATTTGTATAAAATATACTCATAAAAATTGATGGCATAAAATTCAATTACAATTTCGATATCTAAATCAAAAATTTATAAATTTCGATAATACTCACAAATTAACAATATTCAATTTTAAAACAAGTATTTGTCAATCTTAATAAATTTACAATCGAAAAGATTTTTTTCTACTTATATATGTCATAAAAACTTAAGACCCATTATGAGGACAAACATCAAAAATAAAATTATCAAATAGAATAAATTATTATATTTGAGATAATGAAATCACTGTTAAATTCTAAATATTATCAAATAAAATAAAATTATCATGTAATTAAAATTTTCTTATCTCTCACATCTCTTTCAAATCAAAGGTATATATACGTTTTTAATCACAACTATTTATCAATGAATATTAACTCTTAAAAAAACAATTATCTAATAAACATTAAACAAATATAGTTTAAATAAATATAAATACAAAACATGCAAATTTTCATTTTAATTCTTTGAAAACTATATCACAACCGATATACATAGACATATATTTATAAACAATAACCAAAATAGTTTTTCGTTATGATTCTTTAATATATAAATGCTATTCTTTTGGTATTGTTTTACATGATTGATGCACTTTTTATAGAATGCATAAAAATTATCATTGATATTTTTCTGATCAATGGAGAAAGAATATGTTATTAATAATAATATTAAATTTTAAGTTATTCTGAAACTATAAATAATTTCATCAATAGAATTAAAATATTATGATTTGCACAATTCTTACAACTTAACTATTAATCCTTCATGGATGTATGCAATTTTTAAGAACACTTGAACACTAATTTTGTTATATTCTTCAACATGTTCTTATAATTTATGATAAAAATATATTTTTCGTAGTGAATATTTTAAAATAGTCATGTAAACCAATAATACTCAATAATATTTTTTTTTATTATAGATATTCGAGAACTCAATCACAAATCTTTTACAAACTTCTTCAGAAACTCAATCACAAATCTTTTTATGCATTTCTTCAGGAACTCAATCACAAATTTTTTATGAACTTCTTGAGAAACTCAATCACAAATATTTTTATGCAGTTCTTCAGAAATCCAATCGCAACTCTTTTTATCAATAAAAATAATAATATTTACAATTCTCCAGTTATTCAGAAACTATATAACAAATTCATTATTTTGATATCTTCCTGGGATTCTTCATAAGTTCTTCAGAAACTTATATAAATATTATTTTGCTATCTTTCAGGGAGTTTGATAAGTTCTTTAAGAACTTATATAAATATTGGTTTGTTATCCTCCAGGGATGCTTGATAAGTTCTTTTGCAATTTATATAAATATTGTTTTCTAATCAATATATTATAAATAACAGGTAGAAAATATATATTATAAAAAGAAGAAGAAGAAGTAATGTTACCTTGCAAGTCTTGGAGCTTAGTGCTGATAACATATTATGAAATTAAAGAGAAACAATATAATAAAATAGTAGAAACGAATGAGAGAAAGAGAAATAATATTGTATTATTTTCATTATCAGTCTCGATTTTAAATACAATATGAGTCATATTTATATGACATATATAATAAATAGAAGATCAATAAGTAGAAATTACATAATTTGAATATTAATTCAATAAATAATGTTATATAGATGCAACAATTAGAGAAAATTGAAAGAAAAATTACTAAATCACAAATAAAAATGTAAAAGTTAAAATTCTCAAAATTACATATTTAAGATTCATAATGTAAAAATTAGAATTATATCTCATTGAAAAAAATATTTTTTTAAAAGATCAACGCAATTATAAAGATTAATTCATCACGTTAATTAAGATCGCAATGAGTGATAAAGTTCTTCATGAAGAGAATTTAATAGTTGTTTGTTTACTTAAGATACCTAAAACTTCTGATTAAATTGGAAGAGATATTGTAGCTTATCATCCAAATACGGTTGGATATAGCACCCATTTTCAAGTAAGTTGAGTTTATATAAAATCTATGCTTTATGGAAAAGCTCTACATTGACTATCAAAATGAAAGAGAAAAAAAAAACATAACATTGAATTGCATTTATTAATTGTTATTCTGTTGTCGATTAAGGTATGGTCCAAGCATGGACATGGTCAATAATAGAGAGGACATCCCCTACCTCATGTTAATGTATAAGTGGGACTTGAGTTCTCCAACTTAGTTATGGTGTTGTAGTTGCAGGGACAATAACTATGATGAGGAATTGAGAATGAATTTGGAGATTGTTCTTTTTTGTCCATAGATGAATTGATAATGACATGTAGAAACTCATATACAAGTGAATATCAAAATTTGAAAGCTTATAATTATGTTCAATCT